CCCCAAAACCCCAAAACCCCAAAACCCCAAAACCCCAAAACCCCAAAACCCCAAATATTTTAAAACAGGTTGAATCTGTTATTTTGAGGAAGTGCTGAAATTTTAGGATTCTTTCCGTAACTGGAAATCTTCAGATATTGAGTTCTTTAAATGTTTGTTTTTGGTCATATTTCGTGTTTCTCAGGCTTCGTGTGTTTGGATTATGTTAGCGAATAGTTCCTGAGAGATAGGATCTTCCCATAATTCTTCTTCTAAATCTTTAAGTGCCTCTAACTGGCTTCCGATATCCTTTTCTTGTTCTATTTTTTCTTCAGTTTTAGGATAATCTGACTTTGCATTCTTCCTGGCATTGGATCATAAATTTATTGGTTGGTGTTGAGCAAGAACTTTATTTATGTTTGTTAAGAATAATATTTGAAAGGACATGAACTGTTCTCATTGCGTCAATGATTGAAGTCAAGTCAAGCTCTTGAGTAATCTTCTCTTTTCCTCAGCTATAATCTTTATACTGTTTGTACAAAGGTGTCTCCTTGGACCTCTTCCTTCTGAATTTTGAGCAACAGAAAATGGAGTAGAACAGATCTCAGCAAGAATATTTATAGTACTCCAGCGAAGTCAGCTTGTGTTTAAGCTGATATATTTTATTTAAGTTATTTTCTTCAAAACTTCTACTCTTGATGTTACATTCGGAATCATCGAACTTGTTTTCTTCTTTAATTTGATTTTTGCTTCAATCTTCTTGAGAAGAATTCATTCTTTTAACACTGATTTTCTGAGAAGGTGCTACTTTATGAGCATCAGAACTCCTTTTCACTTTATAAAAGTATGATAGCAATGTCATGATATATATTTTTCCGGAGAAGAGGCTCACTCAAACAGAGCCGAGAGAGTATATAATTCCCATAACTCCTCCAACTTGTCCTAACATGTCATAGAATGTATAAACTTTGCGCTCAACAATTTTGTAGTTCTTGTCCAAAATTATATTGATTCTGGCAAGGTCTCCACTTCCATTCTCTGCTTGAAGATCATCTTTCACAGACTCTATGGAGTAATAAGTGTATTCTTTGGGCTCGGAAGGATACCAGATGCTGGTGTAATCATATGCTTTATTTATTCTCACTCTTAGAGTTTTATCAACAGTCATACCTTCGATAAGATGATAATTAAATTCATCTTCAAATGTGACATTCACTGGATTATTGTAATCATCAATATTGAAGTAGTAATTTGATATTGCCACGTAAAATAATTGAAAATTTATTGCTTTATTGATATCTTCTTCTGATTTGCAAAACCCAGGTACATTACTCGAGCATCTTCTAATTGATCCAATGAATGAACTAAACTGATATCCTGTTTCAGATCCTCCAATTCTCCAATCACTTGAATTTGGACAAAGAGTTAAGTGCATATTTAGTCTCCTAGCTGCTTCTTTATCAATAAACTTATCAAACTTATCACCACAAGGAGCTGTAGAGTATTCCACTTCTTCGTATCTGGTTTCAGGTCCTCCAATAAGCTCTTTCTCAATAATTTTGTTCTTGTATTGAAAGTTAAAATAAGTTGAATCCCAAAGTGTACCTGTACCTCCAGCCATACTAATCACAAAGCCATTTTTCTCAATTTGATAGGTCTCTTTGCTTTCAAGCAAGTTTCTGGAAACAATATTGCTATTGATGCTTGTTTTTCCTTTTGTGATTACTAGCCTCATTTCTGAAATAGTGTACATCACAAGGAGGATCATAGAGATCAAAGTGGCGATGCCTCCAACTGTTGTCTTAAAGGAGTCTTCCCCTCTGAAGTTGAGACTGACTGGCACACCAAACTTGTCAGTAGCTTTTATCCAAGTGTTCACGCACGAGAGAGACTTTTGGAGCAAATTCGAAGTCTTTGCGTTGTTCATTTTGAAAGATAATGAATAAATGATAATTAATAAATAATAAAGCAATGTTGGACTTTAAATCAGGGGTTTTGGGGTTTTGGGGTTTTGGGG